GGAACAAAATGCAAGGTAAAGCTTTTTCACTAATCAGGTATTTGTTAAACCCAAAAGGCTTTGGCTGACTCGTAAACTGGCATTCGGATGCGTGCTTGACGGCATGCTGGAGTACATTTTTTCCAGTGCTTATTGGATTAAACTAACCTGACAAATCAAACAGCCTTGGAGGATAAAACTACCAGAAATAAAACTCTGCGTAAACAGAGCAAAGTGAGTTTAGCTTATCACAAAAACCTCTTTCAGAAGAAAGCCTGTTGTGGTTCAGCTTGTGGTACTCTATTAACCTGGTCTCTGCTGCCGCGGTGGCTAACGGAGGATGGCGCTGGCTCGGGGCAGCCTTGAGTACGAGGGGACTTCTGCTTCTTAATGCCATGTCCAGAAAAAATACATCTGTTTGTGGGGCTGGTGTTTTTGGTTTATCAGCTGATGGGGTGCGGTGCTCCAGAAGAAGAAGCTATGCCAGCGTATTTTGAGAAGTTTGCTTGCTAAATACCTTGAACCCTTCCCCAAAGTTACTTAAAAAGGAAAATAGTAAACCTGATGCTGTGAAATGAAACCAGAATTCTCTTTTTTTTTTTTACAAGTTGCCTGTCAGTGCTCTGAAAAATTGAGTTGTGCTTACTTCATTGAGTTTAGGGAAATTATAAGTGAGACCATCTTGCCAAGAGACTTGTCAGCTGAAAAATGAGAGTCCTCTGGCAAACTACAGAGGACTGGGACACCCTGGAAGCAGGTAGCTCTGCTCCATGCAGAAACGCTTCTAGCAGTCAAACAAGTGTTATCGTTCTCAGCTGATAGTCCTGGGTAGAAACACGATTAGAAGCATGGAAGGAGCTGGGTAGGACAACTCTTCCTGAAGTAGAGCAGTATTTTCTTCCTTAACCTAAAATATGTGAAGAACAGTGTGACCTGCCCTAAGGAGGCTATTGGCCTCTTTTTTGTTTGATGGTTTTATTGCTGCTTTTTTGGTCTGAACTGTAAAATCCAGAGAGAGAGCACTTTGCCTTCTCTGTTTTATTGGATCTGAGTGGATGTAATGCTCATTTATCCGTGCAGAAATGCAGCAAGAGATGCTTGTGGGGTCTTTCATAAAAGGTAACATTGCACATTCAGGAGTATTTGTGTTCATGTTTCTCAGAGTTTATTTTGTCAATAGCAAATTAGCTTTTGGATTTTTATTTTTTTTATTTGCATGTGTTTTTGTTTAAAGCTTGGTATGAAAAAGCTTCTGTATGAGACATAACTAAAGAGACTGAATCTCTACTCCCTGGAAAAGATGGCTCTGGCCAGGAGCGGGAGTATTATTAAGATCTGTAAAGCCATGAGTGGCATGTCAAGAGGCAACAGAGAATAATTTCCTTCCACCTGTATCCCATCCCCAAGGACCAGGCAATATCAAGAGTAAATAGCGGGTAACGGCTTCACAGCAAGTGAGCGGAGGTGGTTCTTCGCCCTGTGCCGCCAGTGCACTGTGGGACTCATTGCAGTTGGGTGCTGAAAGCAGATACAAATTCAAAAAAGGGATTAGATGGCTTAGCTGAAAAATACCATTTTGAGACATGCTCAATCTGAGAGCCCCAAACTACCAGGGTGCGGGAATCCGGGACAGCTTTCTGCGTCGGTACAGCTTTCGGATTGATTGTTCCCCTACTTACCCTTACCTGGAGAGAGGACAGGAGACAGGCTAATAGGTTTGATGGACATTTTGATGCCAGTACAGTATTTTAAACATCCCAGTTGTTTGTATGTCTTATTTTATCTAAACATTGCCTTCCTGGATAGGACATCTGACAACTGAGAGTCCCATAGTATGTTTCTGTATCTTTTAAATATGAGGGATTATCAGAAATTGATGGGATGATTACTAAAATATCTGATGATTTATCTTGGTTTTGATGGGGAAAGGAGTATTTTATGAATTGCATGTGAGGTGTCTGTGTGAGAGTGAGTAACTAGAGCAGAAGGACTTGATGGATCTTGCTGCAGGAGTATCAAAAGTTATTGCTAGAAGAGTGTAGGAGGCAATTTAAGTGCACAGAGACATTCCTTGAAATCTTAAAACCATCCTCATGATTGCTTTATGCTCAAATACTGGATTTTGCACTGAGAAAGGTGAAATATTATGGATACATTAGTGTGAGGACAGCTGTTGGGAGCAGTATAAATCTGTTCACAGAGTCACAGAGTGGTCAGGGCTGGAAGGGCCCTCTGGAGACCATCTAGTCCAACCTCCCACCAGAGCAGGGGCACCTCCAGCAGTGGCACAGGACGGCGTCCAGGCGGGTTTGGGATGGCTCCAGAGGGGGAGACTCCCCCACCTCTCTGGGCAGCCTGTGCCACTGCTCTGCCGCCCTCACAGCAGAGAAGGCCCTCCTCAGGTGGAGATGGAACTGCCCATGGTCACCTTTGTGCCCGTTCCCTCTTGTCCTGTCACTGGGCACCACTGGAAACAGACTGTTCCCACCCCCCTGACACCTCCCTTGAAGGATTTATCAGCATTGATAAGATCCCCCTCAGTCTTCTCTTCTCCAGACTGAACAGCCCCACGTCCCTCAGCCTTTCGTCAGCAGAGAGATGCTCCAGTCCCCTCAGCTTCTCCGTAGCCCTTTGCTGGACCCTCTCCAGCAGTTCCCTGTCCTTCTTGACCCGGGGAGCCCCGAACTGGACACAGCGCTCCAGATGTGGCCTCCCCAGGGCAGAGCGGAGGGGGAGGATGACCTCTCTTGACCTGCTGGCCACACTCTGCTTGATGCCCCCCAGGATGCCATTGGCCTTCTTGGCCACCAGGGCCCACTGCTGGCTCGTGGGCATCCTGTTTTCGCCCAGGACTCCCAGGTCCCTTTCACAGAGCTGCTCTCCAGCAGGTCAGCCCCTAACCCTTACTGGTGCATGGGGTTATCCACCCCAGGTGCAGGACCCTACACTTGCCATTGTTGAACTACGAAATTCCTCTCTGCCCAACTCTTGCCGAACTCAACTCTCCCAACCAGTTGCATCAAGTGTGGCTGTTGCTGGTTTGCTGGTGACCAAGAGGATTGTCGCCTTTGAACCTGTCACCTTCACTGGGTGAGGGAGTACTGGAGTAGTGCTTGAGAGGAAGGTGGTGGTGGAAAAAAAATAGCAGTTGCGTGATTGTGTGCATGGAAGAACTCTCTTCCTCTCACAGGAGATTATGAACCATGAAGCCCGTTAATGTGAATTTTCTTGGTGCAGAGCTGTGCTGGCTGAAGGCCATGCGAAAAGCTTGTCAGAGCCGACTGAGAAAGACAGACCCGAGAGCTTGGCTGCATGGCCGCCAGTGACAGATAAACTTCGCAGTCGGGTTCCTGTGCGGTCATCCCCCAAAACTTAGTCTCAAAGCATATCCCTGCTGGAAAGGTATTCATTATCTCCACAATTTCAAAGACTTGGAAGTTTTCTTCTGGTACACTTGATTCTAAGAAATTACATTGTGGACAAATCCAGTAGTTCGAAACTTAACCTGAAGAATCTTATGGCCTTGTTAACAAGATGAAAAAAGTTTCTGCTTTCAGAAATCTCCTCTTTGCTTTTTTTGTTGAGTTCAGAGGTGATCACGCCTCTTCCAGCAATTGCACAGATGCAGCTCCTTAAGTTCGTCATCGCAGAGCTTACTTTCCTACCTGCGACTCCTTTTTATGATCCTTCGAACGACTTCAGCAGGGTGCTATATTAAATATCTTTTTGTAGCAATGCATTCATAGCACAGTAAATATATTAACATGCCTATTAAGATTACTTAGCTGGAACGCTAATATTAAAGTAAGGAACGTGTTGTTACATGCAGGAAACTTGCTGTCTCTGTGGGCAGATTCCGTTAATGACTGCCCTTCTCGTTTCTATTCTCGCCTCTCTCGTGCTAGTGATTGATTGAGATCTCGATGCCCTCTGCCTGAGGGTTCTTCTCTAACTGACAGGCAAGGATTAAAAACTGTTTCACTTTTGTATGTACACGATACTGATGTGGGTTTTTTTTTCCCCTCACAAAAGTTTTAAGTGTGTTGCTATTTGTATGGTAAAATAGAGGGTGCTTTTTCTTCCTGTTGGGATTTTTTGCCTTTAATGTGGGGTACGTAAGTAAAATTCTTGAGCTGCTTTTCAAGCTGGCTCCTATACCCTTGGACCTTTCTTGAGAGAAATTTTCTACTTAAGAAATACGGTTAAGATGCTTCTTTACACAAGATCAGTTGTAAACAATCTGAGACTATAAGGTGATTAAATCTGTCTGTACTTAAGGCTAATCCTGTACGTATACACAAAACAACGCTAGGTGTATTAGAACTGTCAAAAACTTGGGCTTTAGGAGAATCCATCTAACATTACAATAAAAAAAAAAGGAAGGTAGCATGCAGTCACGCTTCCTAACTGCCTGAAGAGTTCTAAATCTTCTAATTCGGCGGTTTATCCCCGGGACCTGGGAGTAGACTTCTTGCTCTTCATTCCGCCTCTCGGTGAGCTGCCGTCAGAAGACGAGAGACAACTGTTGCCTGCGGCGCAACACAGGTGCCATATCCAGAGCCGTGGGGTTTTTTAACAAAAAATACCACAGTGGGACTTCTCAAAGTAGATCAGCGTGAATCTCACGTTGGAACCACCGCCTCGCCCTCGCTGTCTTTGTCACGAGGTGTGTTTTGGGGGGAGGCGTGAGGGGTGACAGGTGATGGTGAGTGTACCAACAGCATCACTTTTAGTAGTGTTCCTACAGCCCAGCTTGAACCTTGCATTACAGAGACAGTGTACCTTCTCTGTAAAGTCATCTTTCGGTGAATTTTACTATTGTGATAGTAAAATTTGTTTCTGAAGCAAATTATACAATTTAAATTTCATTCCCCCCTCCCCCTTTTTAATTTGGATAACTTTTCTATTGTTTCCTGTTAGGTATACTCAAACCTGGACAACTTCAGTACATATTACTTTGGTGGCTGTGTGCTTTGAATTAACGAGCATTTTTTTACTGTCTCCTTTCAATCCTTGGAAAGGCTCTATGTGTCCCCGAGAAAATCTACAGATCCGAAAACAGACTCGCCTTTAAAATGGTGCCGCCAGGTGTTGGATAATCCCAGTCCCGAGACAGAAGCAGCCTGCCGGACTCTGATAAACAGACTTGATCAAGGTACGTAAACGATAAGCATTGCTTCTTCCACTGTCTTTTATTTCCACTTGGGTACTCTACATTACTGAGAAACTTAAAGCAAAGGAGAGGCGAAGTTTGCGGTTGCTGTAGTGGAGAGTATCTGCAGAGAAAGCGCTGCAGGCGGTGTGCTGCTGGTGCTGCCTGTTTGCACAGCCCTGTTCCTCGTCGCAGAAAAACCTCCCTGCTTTTGGTTTGCACTGGTAACACCGCAGCTGATGGAGGGAAGAGATTGTTCTGTAACCACTAAGAACGCTATGCTGATTACAAGTAATAGACAAAACCAACTGAACTGTGATGTTTTGCCTCTATGTGTTTGTTAAGATGCAAATACAGCAAATTAACTGCCAAATTGACCACCTTACTTTCTGGGGTTTTTTAATATGTTCAGAGCCTAAACGCTACAATATATTTCAGTGTTTTCAGGCTCTTAATTTTTTTTTAAAACATTTAAACATCTTTAATGTAAAAATATGTAGAGGAAGAAATGTGGGACAAGGGGAGAGAATTGTATGAAACTATTATTGCTGCTTTTTTCTATCTAAAAAGTTCTAGTGTTGTTGAGCGTTTCTAACGGTGATTATTCATACCGTATCTTACCATTAGTATTACTACCTGGGTAAAATAATTGTCTGATGCTCAAAGCTTACAATAATGAACCATTAAAATCTGTAACGTAAAGAAATGGTGTCACTTGGAAACTTAGTTTTTCCTGCAGTTTTATCATCCCCTAAAAGCCCTTCATGGTGGCTTTCAGCCACGTTACTTAACCGCTGAGGGAAAATCCCCTACTTAACCTGCCTGAAACGAGAACGCTACGGAGAGTTCTGTTCCGTAAGCGCGTAACACCATCATAGTTAGTATTCTGGGGCCGGAGGTTTGTGGATTTTCTTCTTTTTGAGAGCATAGAAGGCTCTATCCCGTGTTAGCCTTCCACTGATGTAAGAGCTGTTAGGATAGATGCATAGTTCACTTCATTACAAAACTGAGGGGGTTATTCTATTTCTGTGTATCTGTAGTACGTCACGTGGAATCCCTCCGGTGGATATCCTACCTTTGTCTTTTCAAACGCACTCCGGCTTTGTGTGTAAAATGTGCGAGTCCTGGGCTGAATTAATGACAGCCAAGACATTGAGGGGTTTGAAGTGAATAACTAATCCTTTTCTATATTGTATCGCTTTCTATATCATGCAGCATTCCTATGTAGGCAGCTGGGATTTTCCCTGCAGCTGGAGGGACGACTAGTTTTATTATTTTCTTCTAACAACTCATCATTGAAAAGCACTGCAGAGCAGGACGTGTTTCAACCTCATCTGTGGTCTTTGACTTAGGAAAATCTAAACACAAAAGCTGTGGTCAGCAGCGATTGAAAAAGTGAAGTTTTAATGTTATGAAGTGCAGTGATGTTCTTAACTGCTGAAAATACGACCCCCAATTTGGTACAAAAGTTGGTGTCTGCCTGGGTTTTGAATTGGGTGCCTTTGTCTTCTCTGTGAATCCAGTAATTTGGACTTCAGTTTCACCAGTAATTTGACCTCAGTGATTCCAAGTCCGAGAGGCCCCTGTTTTGGTTTGGGTTGTTTGTTTTTTTTTTTAAGTTTACATACTAACATTGTTTTGGCACCCCTTGTAATCGGGCTTATTTTGAGTTTAGCCTTGAAATTCCTCGTTTGAGATAACTGAATGTAGTTTGAGAACAAATGTTATTTTCTTTTATAAACTATCTGCGCTTAAAAACTTGAATGAAGGTTCATTTGATTAACTCTCTGCTTTCTGTCTGAAGTGTATCAGGCTTTATTTGTACTCTGTCACTCCTTTTTAATTACCATAGTCTGACTTTGTAGGGGAAATAAAAAAGAAAACTATTTGTATAGTGAATCTTCATTATTTTCTTAGGTACTATTCCTTAGCATTGTAGCTGCGTATTTCCAACTGCAGTAAGCATGGATGCCCCAAATTTTACTACCGGCTTCTTTTTGATTGTTTTGCTAACTCCTATGCGAGTCTGTGTGCGGAATAAATATTTCAGAATAGTTGTTTTTCATATTAACTTGCTTTCGTTTTAATCTGAAGCCATAGCTGTCGTGATTTAATGCTGGTTTGATTCCATCATTAAAAATTCAAAAGAACACGTGTAAACATAAAGTTCGATGGAGTTCTTTAAAATGAAGATGGGGTGGAGAAGCGACAGATATTTATGAAAACAGTCATCTTTGAAGAGCAGCGCTAAAACTTCCAGAAAAGCATGGCTTTTTTAAAGCCAAGTTTGTCAGTAGTTATTCTTGGAATTCTTCAGAAGTGACAAAACAAGTTAAAGGGGAGAGTGAGCAAGGCAACAGGCGCTGCTTTGCTTCCTACATCTTGTCACTGACACCAGGATTTGAAGTGCATCTGTTATAGTATTTAATCTTCTTTGATCTGATGCCTTGCTTTATCTTATGCTCTTTGTTTTGAAAAATAATTTGATAACCTTGATGGCTTTTTTGTATTTTTCCTTCTAGCCAGTAGATGGAAAAACCTGTATTGCAGTCCGTTGGCCTCACCAAGCGCGCATAATTTGAATACAGAGACAGGCTCCTGTAGCAATGCACTAAACTCTCCCGGGCATCTCAAATCGACTAACAAAGCACTACTAACCTGTGGCAGCTCAGGTATGGCATGTCAGTAGAGCAGTGCAAACCTGTAGTGTTTAAAATGCAAGGACTATTACTAATTGACACAGGGAAAAGTTGTCAAGAGATTCAAGTCCACCCCTGGGGTTTTCTCCTTTTACTTTGCTCGCCTACTGACCCAGGTCTCATCTATTACGTGGGAGAAAACCTCCTTGCATTCTACATGTCTTGTAGTTATTTCATGGTTTTGTTTTTGTAGCTCTGTCTCTATATATTTATAAATTGTACTAATTTTAAGTGACTGAAAATAGAAAACAGCTGTTGGGGCAAAGGAAATACTGCTCTTGAATAATATAATCATATGTAGGTGTTAACTTTATAAAGTTACTTGCATTCAGTTTTCTGGCTTGAGAGTTTGTGAAGTTTCTTTTGAAAATAGTGATTAATGTAGGCATCGGAAGAAACCTTTTGCTTTAAGATAAAAGGCATAGGCTCCAAGATAAGCCTTTAAATTCACCGAGTGGGCAGCTAAATGTGGAATAAGACAAGCTTTCCATCAGACTTTATTGTGTTTGGAGTAAGATTTCGTACCTTAGAGGCAACTTGTTAGAAGCCTGTATTTGTAGGTATGATAATGAAGCTTCTCCGAAATGGCTCGGCCTCAAGTCTGCCTCGGCATTTAAGCTGCTGCCTGAGTCCATGTAGGCTCTTTCAGGAGCTTCGTTTATCCTTGATGCAGTTCACGCTCGGGTCCCCAGCACAAATGCTTTGCCTCTTGGCTTTAGTATTAAAGGACTCTTCTTTAATTTGTTTGGGGTTTTTTTGTGGAAATTGCTATATCCTAATTTGCATGTTTAAAACCGTAAAGCACGTTTAACAATTTCTGGCTTGAAACTTGATGTTAAATGACCCTTTCATTTATTTTTTTTAAGAAAAAAAAAAAAGGGTTGCGTATGGATGTTTTCACAGCTGCAGGTATGCTTTTGAGATCTGCTGGTTCTGCTGGAAATAGAAATTAACACTTATCTCTGTTTTGCAAACAAAAGGATGTATGTAGGACTGATTATTTTTGCAAGCTGAATTCTGCAGGGAAAAATCTTTACATCAGTTCCCTGGTTTTTGTGTGAGGTTGGTTGGCAACCTGTATGTCTCACCGCCTTTTCACACAGAAACGGTTACTGATGTGTAAAACCAAAATGTCCATGCAACTTCGAGACTTCTTCATTCACTCTGCAAATCTGCTGATGCTGTCAAGGGTGCCGAATAAAACGCCGAGGATAGAGCAGGCTTTGTGCATGTGGGATGAGCCATGACAGTTCACTTCATCTGTTTGGTGCCTCTACCCTTGCGACTTGTGTAAGCGCTAACACGAGTTTAAAGTTCACTGTCAACTTGATTGGCTCGAATCTAATTTTATTTCTAAGAAAAATGGAGCTTCCCCACCGTTCAAATGAAAAATGTTTAACAGTAACTTCCCTTAAAAACGACACCAAAAAAACCCTTTCACAAAATCCAGATGTGGTATATTTTGAAGTTTCTGTAATGAAAACCATAATCAGTTCATCCCGCAGTGTTGAGCCACAACAGTTTTTACTGATTAAAGAATGTGAATGTTTTTCTTCCCCTCCTTGCCTGTATTTAAATAGACCTGCAATTTGAAATGCAACAACCAAACGAAACACACGCAACTGAACTGGGAACTTTGCTTTTTAAAAAGCTGTAGTCAAGATACAGCAGCATTGAAAATACCGCTTTTAGCAGGAAAGGTGTTAGTTACAGCAGGAGACCCACGCTTGTTCACGATACTGCATCCTACAGGTGCAGTCGTGTTGGCTTTATCTCAACTGCTTCCAATGTCCTTCCTGACACAAGAGGGAATGAAACGGAATCACGCTACGCAGCCGTGCAGTCGCAGTACTGCAGTGTCTTGACGTGGGGTGCGCATTTGTGTAACACACACACACAGACACACCGATGACACTACAGCCACGCTTCTGTCACTGCGCTATGTCAGCGTCTTGAGACTGGAACAACTTTATACCCTTTCAGACGAGGAATTTGAGGCTCGCTGGTACAAAGCAGTTTGCTCAATGTCCATGTAAGAAATTTGTTTTACGCCCGGACTTCAAACCTGTGTTTTCTGTGTCGTTGGTTACTGCTCTTCACAACTGGTTGAAGAAACAGTGTTGAGAACCTGCTGCTTTTTCCTGCCTGCCCAGAGTTAACCATTGTTGGAAAGGGTTCCTCAGCAATGGGTTTTTAGATGTTTTGCCGTTGAGAACGATTCAGTAGGTGCACTGCCTTCAAGGCTTCCTAGAACACAGCAGGCAAAACTGCGTGAGCTTCAGTAAAAGTCAGTGGTGAATGACATCACAGAGGTGCTTTGGGAGGCTGGCTTATATTCTTGACTTGTTGGTTGGTGTGCTACAGCCGACTTGTTGCTTTTTGTTTAAGTGATGATCTCAAATCCCTGCTGAGCAGGATTTGTATTTTTTAAGTCTACTGTAGCTGAAAATGATGTTAAAATGCTCTTAGGCTCTTGCCGTATCTACCAACTTTACCTGATCTCCTGACAGATTGTGGGGCTTAATTTTTTTTTTTTTTTGGTGGGTCTAAACGATATAGTACTAATTGCAACCCTGTCTTGGCATTACTTTAAGGTAATGATGTACTCTCTCTTAAAATAGCTCAGTAAGTATATGGTCTTAGGTGTCCGTGTTGGAGGGTTAGTTATGCTAGGAGCATATTATGGTGTTTTGTAACAGGTAGCATAGATAAGCCTGTTTGCCATGTAGAGGTTTTACAGTCACTAGTCTTTCTGTGCTTCCAAAATTTTTTCTAGCAATTTTTGGGGTTTTTTTTGGTTGGCTTTTTTTTTTTTTTCTTTTTATACAAAGCAGTATGGTAGTTATAAAATAGGCAAAGAAGATGGAGGTATTTGCAGCATTGCACGCTGGCTCTTAAAGATACTCCCCTGAGCCAAAATTAACTTTGATGAGGTGGTAGCAAGATTCTCCTGGCATTGCCTGCATCTGCCTGCCGTCTGCAGATGGAGATCCCCTAACTGCGAGGTGCTGCTTAGCCTTCCTGCAGCAACCGGCATCCCAGGTGCCAGGAAGAGGAAGACCAAAGGCAGTCGTGATCCCACATTTCCACGTGTAGGGCCACTTACGAGCCTCCCGCATGTGAAGGACGAGTACCAGTATAGTCCCAGAGCTACATGGCTTGTTCTCATCCCCCCATTTCAGTAGCAAACAGTAGTACTCATATGCCATGGAAAATATCCACTTGCTTGACCTAAGAAAAAGTACTAACAGCTAAAAGTTTGCACTTAATGATTATTATGATGATACTTTTATTATTATTCTTCAAAAGAGAGGAAATGGCCTCAAGTTGCACCAGGGGAGGTTTAGGACGGATATTAGGAGAAATTTCTTCCCCGAAAGGGTTGATCAGCACTGGCACAGGCTGCCCAGGGCCGTGGTGGAGTCCCCATCCCTGGAGGGATTTAAAAGCCGGGCAGCCGTGGTGCTGAGGGACGTGGGTTAGCGGTGGGTTTGGCAGTGCTGGGTTAACAATTAGACTTGATGATCTTGAAAGTTCCCTTCCAACCCAGACAGTTCTATGAAAAGGAAAATTATTTGTTCTTCTTCCTAATGTCTGACTTAGGGAAAAACTTTCCTGGTAGAAAAACCGTTCCAGCTTGTTTTTTATGACCTGATGTACAAACAAGCTGTGTCCTTCCCTGTAAGAGAGAGTTTGGTTTATGATGAGAGGAAAAAAAAAAAGGGGGGTAAACCTCAGGAACAGGGAGGAGACAATCTACTGTAAACTCTACTTGCATAAGCAGACTGCATGACTGATTTTTGAGGTACTGTAAAAGCATTTGGATCCTTTTCCTCCTATGACTGCTCACCAAGGCCCTAGCAAGCACTTCGTGTAACTTTGCTGCCTAATATTGAGTTCAATAGTTGTTCCTATCGCAAAATAGGCAGAAATAATACTGTATGTTTCTAAGCTCAAAATTACCAAGCCTCCCTTTGCCACCTTCTGGACAGAAGTCCACAATTTTCTCCCTGCCCAAAGGCACTCTGCCTCCTGAAGACTGCAGGTTAAAACACCGAGCATTGTGTTCTCAAGTAATTTCTAACTTCTTAATTATTTCTAGCAACCGTACCTCAACTTCACAACTGCACTGATTTTATTACTGGAATAAATACTCTGCTGCTCTTTCTTGGTTTGTGTGTGGATGTCTGAATGCTTTTTATGTTCCTCCCTAGGTTATTTGAGCATGCATTCTGCACTGAGCTCCCAGTCATCTGTGGACAGTGAGCTGAGTACGTCCGATGACTCCATCTCTATGGGCTATAAACTGCAGGACTTGACTGATGTCCAGGTGATGGCACGCCTTCAGGAAGAAAGTACGTGACAGCCATCTCTTCTGTGTTACAGTTTTAGAATTGTAGAGAAATGTAGATGGAGTCCAGCTGTTCTTCTCTTCCCCCTTTCCCCAACAACAAAAAATAATTTAATAGATCATTAGAAATGTTTGTGATTTGCCAGGTCATCCTGTAAAAATCTGCAGACCCAAGCAGTTGTATAATATTCTCAAGATTACACCTCTTAAAGCAGAGGGTCGTCTTGAAAGTATTATCCAAACCCCCACTTTGTTAAATACATAAGCACCCTTAAATACTCAAAAATACCCCATCGTGGATTGTCTCTGAAGTAGAAGTGAAGTTTCAGGAGTAGCTGTTTCATAACAGTGGCAGTTTAATCGGCAGCGGCTCGCAGGTGCCCGTCCGGTGGCTGTCCCCTCCCTTGAGCAAACACAGGCAGCTGTGGGACTGCACTGTCTGTCGGTTTGGGGAACTGATCCAGCTGAAAAAATAACACAGCGAAATTTTGCTTGTAAATTTTTGGTTTTATGAGCAGGCTGCCCAACTGCAGCCCGAAATCATATTAGAAGCTGTCTAGAGGAGTCCATTTTACAGGCTGTTTATTTCACAAAAGTTGCAAGCACTATTTCACTGGTTGAGTAAAACCAAGAGTTCAAGAGAACTAAAATTGAAAGAGCTGCAATCACAATTTAAATTTTGCTCTGGTAAAGCGCTGGGAGACAGCTCTGCAAATTTAACTAAAGCATAAAACATTTGTGTCCCAGTGTGTGGGGAGTTCAGGGCCCCAGTCCAGTTCCCATTAAATCATTGCTAAACTTTCTGTTGAATTCGGTGGGGTTTGGATGAGGTCCTAATTGAAGATCAAGGTGGAACAAAGTAGTTAGGTCTGTTGGTCAGTGCAAATTAATCATTAATTTGATTTACAGGAAATAGAGAGTGAAGTTCTCTGTTTTACTTTTGACGAACATTTACTCACTTCTAGTACTGTGCCTTTATAAATTTAAAAAATAGTGTGATCTAGGAATTGGAATATGAGACCAAAAAGAGCATAAGACATAATATCTTGTTATCACTTTATTACACCTGAGCACAGCTGAAGAAAAGTTATATTAGAGTGAATAAGCAAATAACAGCCTTTTTCTTTCTAAACTTGAATATTTTCCTATGCTTTGTGACCACATAAAAAAAAAAAATAAAAGAAATCCTGTCACATTAGAGTTTCCAGTGAAATATGAAAAGCGCTTCATCCTCAGAATGAAGGAGGCTTTTCATATTTGCATTGTGACGGGAGAAGAGTGGGGAATGCTTGCTGTTTGGGTTTTTTTTAATCCCTGCAGTGAAGGGACTGCACTGAGAAGAGGGTTTTTCAGAACTGTAGCCAATGCCTTTCTCAGAACTCCCTTCAACCAGTTTTTTAAATTAGTTGTTGGTAAGAAGGTGCTTGTATTTTGTTAGGTGAGAAGCCTTCACTAAAGGCATAATTTGGGGGAGGACCTGTAAACAGAGCAAACAGATGCGTTCTAGGTGTCAATAAAAGCAAGTGTGTTTACACTTCGATGCAGAAGTTCAAATTTTTATTTCATCCTACTGAAATGCTGGTGGGTACGTAATTAATTGCACTAAAAAATTCATACTGTCAATTAGACTCCTATACCTAGTTAACCAACAGAGCTTTCGTGGCAATACGTAGTCCACAGTCACAGCTGGTTGTGTATGTGACATAAGGAGTAATTCAGGTCAATTTGAGTATTAACTCTTTGCTCTAATTAAACAGAGCTGATATGGATGACGCTGTTCCAGTTTAGAGATCCCGTAAGCTGTGAGTGTCTACAGTAAAGAGGGTTATTAACTTGACTCTCCTTCCAAGGTGAAATGAATCGCTGATGAAATCATTGCTTCTGGATTTGTGTTGCGATTGGGTACGGAATTTCTATTTTGAAGTGCGATGACTTTGAGCCGTGTTGCCCTCTATCTCCAGGCCTCCGTCAGGATTGTGCCTCGAGCTCTGCCTCGGTATCGCGCCGCAGTTCCAGTGCCTCCCTTCACTCTCTGCGAAGAGGTACCTACAGTGACCAGGAGTTCGACACCTACAGCCTTGAGGATGAGGATGATTACGATTGTTCCCTGTCGTACCGTAGCGCTCACAGATACTCACCGTCCCCGCTCAGTTCCCCCCGGTGTCAGTCCCCTTCTTCCACTGCAGATTATGGCAGGTCATCGACTTCCCGTATCCGTCCCCCAAGGAGATCGGTGCAAAGTCCGATGCAGGACCGGCTCAAGTATGCAAACAGCGAAGGTAAACTACTTGGGAGCTTTTGGTATGAGTCAATGAAAGTAATTTTCATAGAACAGAATCACAAAATGCTTTGGGTTGGAAGGGACCTTGAAGATCATCCCGTTCCACCCCCTGCCCTGGGCAGGGACACCTCCCCCCAGCCCAGGTTGCTCCAAGCCCCGTCCAACCTGGCCTTGAACACCTCCAGGGATGGGGCAGCCACAGCTTCTCGGGGCAACCTGCCCCAGGGGCTCACCGCCCTCACAGGAGAGAATTTCTTCCTAATATCTCATCTCTATCTCCCCTCTTTCAGTGTAAAACTGTTCCCCCTCGTCCTATCACGACATGCACTTGTAAAAAGCGCTGTTATTTAATGGAAGCCAAGAATTAGTTACACACTTGTCTACTTTTAAGTGCCTCTGGTTTTCAAGAGATAGCTACATCATTAGACATCTCCATTGCTACCAGAAGCAGCAAATAGAGAATTTTGCTCTTGATTTCAGAGGAGATGCGTCACAGCATGCCCAACCTGGCCAGGACCAGCCTTCGAGCTTTGGAGTCTGTACGGAGCAGTCGGAGCTTGGAGTCAGATCTGCAGGTGCCAAGCAGTCGAATTCCCAGGACTCAGCAGCGGTCAGGAGGTCAGTGCCGTGTCTCCTGGCCACGCCGCTGTAGCCGATTTCCTTTTGGCTGTTTAACCGACCTAACTACACCCGAGGCCCGTCAGAGGCCCGGTATCCTGAAGCGTTCTTAAAATACTGTCGCCAACTGCATTATTCTTTCTGCTGTTATTTCATTTCTAGGTCTGGCTCCCAGTAAGCTCAGGTATTCCTCCAGTGCTGGGCAGTCTCCCTTAACGGTGCGACAACCGATGAAAGCGGGGTCCTGCACAAACTCCCTGTTAACACCCAGGCAGCCCGTCAAAGCCTGCAGTTACACGAGTCCCATTAGCGGAGTTCGAAAGCCACAGGCATCTTCACTTAGCACGGGCTCTTCCAGTAGCAGTTGCACTACCAGAAGCAGCAATATGGTCACTGTGGCAAAAAATTCATCCCTTAAAGCGCGCACGTCTGTTGGAGGAATCTCGGTGCCCAAGAGCAAGCCGGCACCGCCATCCAGGAGGTAAGTCAGTGTGAGACTGCAAACCTCGCAGACGCGAATGTCTGCCTTTATTGCAGACTAGAAACACTTTTTCCTGGAGTTACGCAGTGAGCCATGGGTATAGAGCTGGGTCAGAGCTGCCGATTAACTTTAGCTGTAGGGTTGTGGTTGGGGAGCCCTTAAAGAAAGGGTAGTGCTTAGCTGGAAGGTTCACAGACGTTAAATACTTTGCCCCCAATCAAGAAGCGAAGGTTTGCGGTTCCTTGGTTCCTTTAAATACCACTAACATTAAATTCTGTGAGTGTGAGTGCACTGACAGGCTGGGACTCGGCAGCGTCTGGGCGAGATGCCCCTTTTTACCATGTCATCTGTGACCAAAGCATTCAATATTTCAGTATGCCATCTGTTTAAAAAAAAAAAATCAGTGCTTTTTTTAAACAGACCTAATTATCCAGGAAAATGAAGAGGCACAGGCTCAAACTTATTCCTATCAGAAATGAACATTATGGCACGTATTTATTGGGTGCGTACATCTGGATTTTTGGAAGGGGGAAAACTCTTCTAAAGGACTAATAAACACTCTTTACTGTTAAGCTAATAATCTTCCCAGATGACCTGCTTTGGTGCCTCTGTAACTTTGCTACTGGTAAAAGAAGTTTGGTGAGGTTCTTTTCTTCCTTAGTTTCTAGTTAGGACTCCAGGCGGGCATTGTCCAAGGCCTAGTGAGTTTCTAGAGTGGTTTGAAAAGTAGGACAAATTAACAAGGCTGGTTTTAAGTGTGATTCTGAATCAGCACAGCGACTCCATAGAGCGGGGGGAAAGCAGAGCATATATAACGGTTTCCAAAAACTTACCATTTTTGTTCTTGTTGCACAAGTCTGAACTGATTTAGGGGCCACGTCTTAATCCAGAAAGATGCAATGGGTTTGGGGACTTTTTTGTAACATTTATTTCTCGCTGTTACGGTTAGCTTCCTAAATATTTACACAGTGGGTATCTGCAGTTTGTAGCTAGTCCAAAGCCCCAGCTGGTTAGTTAGAACATGTTCAATCTCTTTAAAGAATGAGGCCTCAGAAGTTTCTACCAACGTTATGCACAGGCTACTTTACGCTGGTTTAGCAAAGCGAGTTCTTATCCCATCGTCCTGCGGCATCTGCTGTTCTTTCACGGCTGATAAATCCACTACCAAATTGGCAAAAGGTATTTGCGGCACAATTGTAGTGTAAAATTCTACGATTTGAGGGAAGTTCAGTATCAGGGCTAATAAGCAGTAAGTTACACGAGTTATCAACACCTGTTGATTTTTTTCCATGTCCTGTTGTAGCCTTCAATAAATTTAACTGTATCTACTTACTTTAAAACAAATACTCAAAATACTTAGTTTGTAGCAGTACTCCACATACCACCTGATTATTTTGTATGTGTTTAGTCACATTTGCAGGGAAAAAGATTTCTTTTGGACTCGGTCATGGGAAAAACCCACAACGGTGTTAATAACTTACCAGAGCAGGATAAAGATGTCACTGTTTGAATAACCAGTGACAGTCACTTAATTTCTCTAAACTGCCCGAAATTGCTGCTGCCGTCTGTCGTGCTGCCCTCCTGGTGCAGGGGACGTGGTGTGATGGCAGCATTTGAGCAGAGGCAGATGTTGGCATCATCCAAAGCCAGATGTTGCAGAAAGCCGCTGTAAACTGAAGCCTCAGACAAGCGTTCCGGTGTCCGCCAGCAGCTTAGCGGGGACTCTGCTGCCTGTAGCTGTTCCTGACCTTTTTTGTGTCTCTCAACGCAGATTTCTTCAGTCGGCACAGACGGCTCAGGCCGCTGAGGACGACTCCTGGAAGGACGGGTGTTACTGATGGCCCCCGGGCTGCCCCGCTGCCCCCGCCTGAGGCAGACCCCCAGCTGGCTGGGCGCTGTTCCGAAGGGAAGCCCGAGAGCCCCGCGGCACTGCCGTCGCTGTACATAGTTCCTCTCCTCCCAAATGCAAACTGTCCTCGCATCCTGCTCCTCTGCCGACAGCCCGACCTCTTGGCAGTGGAACAGACAACTGCTTTACTGCATTTCCACTCCTCAAAATACGAGTCTTCACGTGAAGACTTGAAATAAGCCTTATTTCATATAAACCTCTACTTGCAGCCCTTTGGCAGCTTTGTCACAAAAAACCACCAACCTTCCTACGTGACCTGCTCCCAAGGACGCTCGCTTAAAGAAGGCTGCTGGTTGTCCTGTTTGTGCCAGAGAGCGGCTTCGAGCTGTTGCTGCGCTGCGTTGCGCAGCAGGGGCTTGGGGAGACTAGAAATAGTTACATAGATGGTAGAAGTAAGACTTTTTAAATTCAGCCTGACCTACTCTAATATTTGTCTGGAACTCAGCTGTTTGGGTTTGGTTTTTTGTTTTGGTTTTTTTTTTTTTTACTTCTGTATAGAATGTATTTCTGCTACTTTTTATTGTTTGTTCTAGAAGATGAAGCAGGTTTTTATAACTGTAGTACACTTCAAGCTGTTGTAGTCGAGTGTGCGCATCACGGTTCACAAGTGAAGGAGCGGTACACAATATTTGTGTGGGTTTGTGAACAGGCAGTCGCAGGGACAGGGGATGCTATCGCCAAACTGCTGTTTATCAGCATCTTCACATCTTGGATGAGGAAGTTAACAAACACCAGTTAAAAGTAAACTTTTTATAAACAACCCTCCCTGACGGATCAGACTTGAAGTGTTTCCCTTCCATCTCTTCCATCTGATTTTTGTAGAAGAGTTTTCTACTGCCTCCTCAGCTATGAAGGATTTGGTGTCCTTTATCCTCAGCGAGAGCTGGATGCTACGAAGACACTCTCAGTACAGAAAACATGCACTGATAGCGATGTCCTCCCTGCCATCAATGTGATTTTGATAGTGTAGTTTAATAAAATGTTATGGTGCTGAAATAGATCTGCTTTATTCACCCAGCGATCCTGACTTCTGAGTGGTTTTGTGCTAGGAAGGAGGCGTTTCATGACAGAAGTCTGCTGCTGCGCTCTGGCTCTTAAACCCAGCACTGGGTCTCTTAGGATGCAAATATCGATATTTGCCTTTAATCTCCTTGGATTCCGTAAGAACGAGGGGACTGTTAGCAAAGGAAAACTTAATTCACAGCACTTGGTTCCCGTCTTTTCTAGGAGAACACCCCCTGAAAAAAACCAAAAACCAGGAGACACCACTTGCAGATAGGAAACACCACAGGGCGCTGTACAGCAGAGCTCACTTTTACAGCAAGTTTGCTTTAGAAAGCAAAAAAAGAGGAAGAGACAGTTGGTCTGTTTCAGGTGAAACCTGAATCATCCCATCACTTCACCGAGAAGGCGGCACAGGACCGGTGAATCCGACTCCTCTCGGGCCCCGGAGCAGAGGAAGGAGCCCATGGTTGGGTTTTTAAGCGAGTCACCGAGAGCAGCAAGGGCTTCTTTCTCATGCTCCGTTAGCTCAGTCTAATGAATATCAATGTTTTACTGTGAACACCTGAAGACGGAGCTGTGTACCGTTATTTCCCTGGAACTCAAATAACCCCCTTCTACTTCAGAGCAGCTCTGTAACTCTCAGAGCCAGTTCCACCCTGTTAGAGCAGAGAGGAGAGGCAGAGGAGACTGACCGACAGCTGCAGCTCCTTCTCTGACTATGAACACCTCCCTCCCCCCTGTGAAAGCATCGGCAGAAGTGTTTTTACACAACTCGGCCTCTCGCTGCCCCAGAGGAAGCTTTGCAGGTTTACAGCACTGCCCTGTTACGGCTTCTCCTTTATGGAGAAGGTTCTTCTCCTGGTGGAAAAGCAGGAACCTGCTCACATTGAAATTATTAACCTTCCCTGTGCACAGAAAGATAAAAGCCCAGCAACGCTTTGGTTTGATTTTTCTATAGTTTGTGCATTCTTCTTTTGTCTCTGCTGTGGGCTATATCCCACTGGCAAGAGCTCACCTGCATCCTCCCGGCAGCGCGTTGCTCTGCAGCCATCGAAGCTGAGACAGCTGCTACTGCATAACGGGCACTGAACAGATGTGTAGTGCTGGGTAAAGAACAAAAACCTTCCGGAAAGGTAAAATCTTTTAACTAGTTTGAGGTTATATTCTAGGTAAAGCTTATCGGGCACATGGTGCTGTTTCTATGATGGATTTGGATACACATTTCGAGACAGAGCAGAGGTTGAAGAGAGAAGGAAGCAAAAAGGTTAACCAGGGCCTTATTCTGCCGTTCGCTTCTGCGTGAATTCACGGGCATTTTAAATATAAATGCGATCCTGCCACACACATGAAGGTGGCTGTCCCGCGCCGGGAGAGGGCCGTCTGTTCCACAGGTCAGGAACGTGAGGCACAAAACCCGGCTCTGTACCAACTGTCAAACTAATGAGATGTTAATTTAAGTTTTACCCCTTCATTTCTCTACACCGTTCTCACACCGAGTGCTCTCCCTTCTGATTTTTATATTCTGTATTACCTGAGCCCCGGCGGGTGTCATTAGAATGCAGCTTTGCCTCAAACCGAGATAACGATCAACTGAACTCAAACAGTTTCTGCAAGTTTAAGAGGAAATCCAACTCCCTCGTAGCGATGCATGAGCCCGCGTCCAAAACCCAATACTCCATCAGCATTTCACTGCCCCAGGCAGATGAACAGCCACAGAGCTTTTATGGAGTGGCTCTAGTGCCGGACCAGCAGCCGGAACTGGGGCTGTACCAGAAACCCCTCTAGAAAAGTGGGGGATTCCCAGTTAGAGGGGCGGAAATGCAGCTGTTACTGGGGCTTCCCCTCCCTACAGTGGCATTTTATATCACTGAAAATTGCCTTAAAACTAAGTTTTCACAAAGGCTTTCATTTAACTTCCAAGCAGTAACACCGCCCCGCTGTGTCACGGCTCTTCCTTTTGTGCTCTCTCCACCCACTCATGCTCTGAGGGACACCTTGTCCCCCACGGCCCCCCGAGGTCACAACATGGAGAAGCAGATTCTTCCCACCGTCCAAAATGAGCCCCTGTGAGGTGATGACAGGCACCAGCACCAAACCCAAGTCAGAATCCTTCCAGAGCCGAGAGGTTCACAGAATTCACAGAATTGTTAGGGTTGGAAGGGACCTCTGGAGATCATCTAGTCCAACCCTCCTGCCAGAGCAGGGTCACCTACAGCACGTTACACAGGACAGCGTCCAGGCGGGTTTTGAATGTCTCCAGAGTGGGAGACTCCACCACCTCTCTGGGCAGCCTGTTCCAGTGCTCCACTACCCTCAAAGTAAAGAAGTTCCTTCTCATGTTAAGATGGAACTTCCTATGTTCAAGTTTATGCCCATTACCCCTCGTCCTATCACTGGGTGCCACTGAAAAAAGACTACTCCCATCCCCCTGGCATCCTCCCATTAAGTATTTGTATGTATTAATAAGATCCCCCCTCAATCTTCTTTTCTCTAGACTAAAGAGACCCAAGTCCCTCAGCCTTTCCTCATAAGAAAGGTGCTCCAGTCCCCTAATCATCTTTGTTGCCCTTTGCTGGACCCTCTCCAGCAGTTCCCTGTCTTTCTTGAACTGGGGAGCCCAGAACTGGACACAGTACTCCAGATGCGGTCTCACCAGGGCAGAGTAGAGGGGGAGGATGACCTCCCTCGACCTGCTGGCCACACTCTTCTTGATGCACCCCAGGATGCCATTCGCCTTCTTGGCCGCCAGGGCACATTGCTGGCTCATGGTCATCCTGTTGTCCACCAGGACTCCCAGGTCCCTCTCCACAGAGCTGCTCTCCAGGAGGTCAGCCCCCAACCTGTACTGGTGCATGGGGTTATTCCTCCCCAGATGCAGCACCCTACACTTGCCCTTGTTGAATTTCATCAGGTTTCTCTCTGCCCAACTCTCCAGCCTGTCCAGGTCACGCTGTATGGTGGCGCAGCCTTCTGGCGTGTCAGCCACTCCTCCCAGTTTTGTGTCATCAGCAAACTTGCTGATGGTACACTCTATCCCTTCATCCAGATCATCGATGAATATGTTGAACAGGACTGGACCCAGTACTGACCTCTGAGGGACACCACTTGTTACTGACCTCCAACCAGACTCTGCACCACTAACCACAACCCTCTGAGCTCTATCTGTAAGCCAGGTTTCACACAGCCGTCATGGAAACTGCCCCCCAGCGGGATTTCTCCAAGCCGCCCTGCGGGGTGGCGGGAGGCCGGAGCGGAGCGCAGGGTGACACGACACTCAGGGTGACACACTGCTGCCAGAGCAGTTCCTACCACCCATCCGCATCTAGCGCCAGACCCACCTCACAGAGCTCAAGAACTCTGCTTTCTGTACAGGAATTTTATTTAAATCAAGTTAACTTTGTTTTTACACTAATGCCTCAGTGCATCCTTTAAAAGGAAAGGAAGTTTTTTTTTTTTTAAAAAGTATTTGTACATAAGACAACAAATCATAGAAATGAACACAGTAACATCAACGATCCCTAAAACATGCACAATTGTACGCCGAGCTGTGGGGGGCTGGAAGAGCAGGAGGCAAGAGGAAGGAAATCTTTCTCTGAGCTTTAACATTCGGTCACCTCGAGCGGGAACAGACGCCAGCGGCCACGGTGCCGGCCAGACCCACGGACGCTGTCTGGGTAGCAAGACTCACGTACCCCTGGTTTGATTTTAGCCCAGCAGAAGACAACTCCACACAAGCATGCAAGTTTACAGGAGAACTCTTTATCGGACATCTGCTGGAGGGCTCCAAGGACAGTGTCACATACACCAAAAAAAAACCTCCAAACCACCCACGTGCAGGAGCAGCAGTTTCAGGCCGTGGCACTGCCCGTGCCGCCGGGCGCAGGGAACCCACGGCACCAACCAAGCGTCCCAGTTCAGTCCCCA